TAAGACCACAAAAACACGTAGCATAAATAAATGTGTCGACCTGTTGCATTTTACTCTCTCGTTTTCACCTCATAAGATCAAACACAGTAGCAGTGAGGGAGTGGCAGCAGTTGAGAGGAACAAATGAGATCAAACGATCCACCGATGGTTCTTTCGTGTTTGTTTTATTGTCATCAGGTTGGCATCTCCCTCCTAATTGACAAAAAAGTAAGAAAAGCATTAGGAGCGGCTGTTTGTCAGATGATCAGTGTTAGTACAGCAGATGCAGAAGGCATGTGGACTGCTCATAAAAAATGTGATTAGTAGTAGAAATGATTCGGGAAATTGCTGCGCCTTGCTTTATAAGTAAATGACATAGGAAAGAGAAAAGATAGAACTCTGAGGTTTTCTTTAATAATTTTCAAAGGGCATTCTTTTGTTGGTTTTAATATTTTTTTTTGGCTCTAGTGGCCTTTATTTGACAGAAATGTGACAGGAAAATAGGTTGTCAGAAAGGGAGAAGACAAGCGGCAAAGGTCAACAGGCCGGGACTCAGACCTGTGACGGCTGCGTCAAGGACTGAGGAGTCTGTACATGGACCCCACGCTTTACCGCAGTACCGCCGCCGCACCCATTTTGAAAGAAAATTTAACGTTGGTAAACATAATGAAATTGGATTTTCACTGAATATGTATTAAAGCCTTTTATAAAACTGTTGATATATATTTTAGCTGATTGCAGTTTCTCTTGAACAGCTGCTGCTGTTCAAGAGAAACGTCCACTCAAACACCCTGTTAAGAAGATACAAGAGCAGCAATGATAGTTATGTAGCAGCTCATATATATAAAGTCTTGCTCTCTCTCACTGTTTTGCCTGAATAAACCACAGATGTCTCAGTAAATACAGTTTATCTTACTGAAATCTTTGCTATACATCTAGGGTCAGATTCAGGAGTATAAGATATTTTTATGCAAAGTTTGCGTGGATGTTTAAAATTCCCAATAGTTATTCTTAAAAATATACACACACATGCACGCACGTACACCAACACACAACAGCGTACTACTGATGTAGCAACCTAGTTAATCGCCATATCAGGTCAGCCTTTTATGTTTATTATGCTTGCATGTTTGATCATCTAAAAGAAAGCTGCCTGAACTCTAAAAGCAGTGATTATAATTAAAGTGCTACTGTATCTTTTTCAGCTTTTAGTCAGTGATACTGTATCTTCCCCACAGTAATGACTCACTGACAGCCAGCACCAGAACATCCATTAACCCTGCTTGCCTCTGTGCTCCTCTGCAGCACTGACTGCTGACGTGGAAAACATTTAAATGCAAATCATGGTGATTTCACATTTTTCAGTAAATAGAAAACATGAACAGGTAAAGAAGCTGCTCGGTGTTTCCACCGCCTTCCGGGGTCACAACTTCTAATAAAGAACCTAATCACACAACCTTGTCTTTCAGATTCACAAACATGCCTGCAAGTTATACAATTTCCCCTCACTAAATCACACATGAAGCTGAGCTGATTTGCATGTTTTGTTACTTTCCGCTCTGTCTCAGGCTGCTGTTTTTTTTATATGAGAAGGAAACTGCAGTTGTGAATGCAGTTGCTTTGATAGCTACCCTCTTGGTAGTTTTATTTTTGCCTCTGCTTTCAAGATGTATAATCTCAGCATGTCAGTCACAGTGATGCTGCCCCAGTACATCAGGAAGAAAAACACTCAGAGGAACATAAATGGAAAAGGGTCTGGCAGAGATAAAAAGATGTAAATCCAACAGAAGGAATCCACAGTGAAATGAAATGCACCTGTTAAGAAAAGAAACGTGACTAAAAATTGCCCAAATGTCCAACGCAGGTAAGTAGAAAACCACACAAGAAAAAAAAAAAGTCATACATACTTAAAAAAACAAAAGTCAATAACAATATCTATCCTGATATACGTGATCAATATCAATAGACAATACATTTAATAGAATATTCAATATTTAATATATATTCATTGAACTGCGATCCAGAACCACACACACAACTAAGAACTCACTCACTCTTTGGTTAGCTAGCAACAATTTGTTGTGTAATTTGCGCAGCAGCAGTTTCAGGTTTTGCCACTGTGCTGCTTAAAAACAAACAACAATGGTGTGGAGAGAAAACTGGATAAAAGAAGACTCTCCAGTCACATATCCAGTCACGTTGCCAGTTTGGGAGTAGTTCAGATATTTAAAACAAAAACTAATCAATACTTATTTATATTGATTGATATGAAATGCTAATATCGTGATGCGTTTTTCAGCCATATCGGCCAGCCATGCTACTTGCACTTTTAACGCTGTAGCATGCCAAACAAAGCAGCCATGGGGTCTTTGGTAGTGACAAGAAATCACACAATACGAGTGCCACAAACCTCATATATCATGCACATATGTGCACAACGGCTACAAAATCAATGCTGTTGTGAGATACAGATCACAGCAATTAACCAATTATATTACTTATGTTCAGTTTCTTCTATGCAAATGCTTCACTCACCTCAGGATACTATACACTTGAAACTTAAAGGGGAAACTAACAGCATCGCTTAATGTCTACTTTATCTGATCGCTTGGAGGCATTCATTGCATTAAAGTGATATACTCAGAAGGGCGGCAAATTCTTTAATAGGAAGAGAAAGAGAGATGAAATGGAAAAGTAACACACTCAGCCATGATGCAGCCGAACACTATGACTAGTATTGATCTATAGGTAAATTACTCAGAACACGAGAACACAATAAATATAATTCAAAGACATAACAGGAGTAATTGATTTACAAAATCCCCTTCATTTATTTATTTATTTCCTATTGCTGTGTGTGTTTTTAACTGAATGCATAGAAATATAGGAACTAGTGTGAACGCAGCTTTAAAAAAATGTACTGCTGGTCACATACACTCACCGTGAGCTTAACTTCAGTTGGTAAAAGCTTATTTGATGACTAGTGAGGTGAATGAAGGTTGAATCATAAAACTAACCTTTTAAAATTCATCAGATGAACGAGAGTATGATCAGACACGTCATTGAAAAGATTGCACCATTCACCAGAGTTGCTAGACAACATACAGAAGGTCAGAAGAAACAGTCTTCGTAATGAAAGCAGGTCCAAGTCCAAGGTCTTTGCTTCAATCAGATCTGTTGTGTTTTATGTAACATTTCAAATAATCCAGAACTTGTTAACTATTGCCTTATCAAAGCAGTATTTGCCAGATTTAATTACCTCTGATCAGGAATGCTTACTTTCCTCTGCAGAGGAACAAAGCCATCATCCTTCTCTTCATTATAGAAGCTAAATAGATTACATTTCTAATTCACTTAAGATGGAATGAATAAATGAGTTTTTAATTGAAAGTCATGCAAAACAAAGCCAAGCACTGATTATTTGGACCTTTTGAGCCTTAACAGGAGACATTATTTAATTATTTAATGTCTGACTGATGACAGGTGTGAGAAAAGCTGCAACTACTCACCTCCTGTTCACTGTCGGACAAAATATAAGGTTTTACTAGCTTATATGTTTGAATATCTTGTTGACTTTTTGACCAAAAAATTATTTAGTTTTGAAGGTATGAACAGGGAATTCAACCCGGAACTAATGAGATGTATTATTTTGATTAAAGTGCATGTTGCTAATTTTATACAGCATCAGATTAATCACTAACCCTTTGACCAAGAGAAGCCAACCAGTGTTTTTTAAAAGTATGTCGCTAAATATTGTTGAAATTTTACCTGCTAATAATCATAAAACCCACTGGAGTTCTTGGGCTGTAACCACTGAAGTTATACTGGGTGAAGGAGATCCAATTTAACTCAACAGAAACATTTGCAGCAGGGAGAGTGGACATACATTTAGCTAACAGAAACTACACTGTTGCTAGTATTATCACTGTAAACAAGAGATAAAATAAAAAAAAATAAAAAACAGTTGAAACCGTCTCCTTTTGTCGATTCCTTTTAACTGTAAGTCAACATTATCCTTACAGTAAAGCTGGCTGCAAGGGGAAGTTAGAAAAGTATCAGCTTAGAAATCCCATGAGTTCTTGCTTCAGAAAGAAATGTTAACATACATAAAGCAAATATTTTCTGTTTGTAATTCCTTAGTAGAACATCAAAAATATCTGTCGTCAATGTCTGAGAAAAATGTCTTGTGTGTGTCTGAATCTGTGACGCATTCAGCCCGAAGGCTCACAAGACTGATTAGTTTCCTTATGGTGACATTATGAAAAGCTTTATTTTTTTGTTCACACTATGTTTTTGAAAGCTGAGAAAAGTTCAAGTAGCAAATGTACCAAAAACTGAATAAAAAAAAACAACAGCAACATTAATTTCTGAACTTTTTCAGGGAAGCGATAATGACTGCAGAGAAGGCATCTTAATTTAGTATTCTGTAATGGAAAAGGTTAAGTATACTCATGCAGCGTGAAAATGTCAACGTGTTCAAGTGTGTAGCAGACAGATTACAGGTCACTGGTCTCCCATAGTCAAATTAATTAAACCTTTCAGGACTGTCGGAGTATCCACTGAAAACTGCAGCATGTAAATAAATCATCACGGCAACCAGCTTCCAACAGTTTCTTCATGCTTTATATAAACTTTATATAACCACTATAAAATTCTTATATTCGGAGGGAAAAGCCAATATGAGTTTGAGTGCATTCATTAAAAGTAAGGTAGCTAGCACTTACACAGCTATGTGTTGCATGAGATTGGGCACATTCATTGCACCAATTGGATAATGAGAACACCAGTGTTTAATTTACATTGAGCAGTGTGTTAATGGAAATCTGACACTCTCACAGGGAGGGAAAGAAAAAGAGAGGGAGAGTGAGAGAGATGGAATGTAAAGAGTAAAAGTTGGACCAAAATGGTAGCCATATGTAGGTAGGTATGTAAGGTACCTTTCATAAAATATACCTGTAAATTAGCTTAACGTGAAATAATTGTGCCTTAATGTTAATACATACCGTTAAATAACCACATACCTTGATCCAGGTCAAACTCCTCCGTAGTGCTGACAAAGTGAGGTCGGGAGTAGAAATTATGAGGCCCCGGCTGCTGGAGCCCACCCAGGCTGAACAGGCTGCGCTCGTTGGTAGCGCAGCATGAGAACGCCCTGCGGCTCGGGATGCAGGGGAACCGAGTCCAGCTCTTCATCTCCAGGTCGAAAGCCTCCAGTGCCGTTACTGGCATCTTTCCCTGACGACCACCTGGAGGAGGAGGAAGACTTATAAAAACATATTTTCTTTTTATATTAGACATAATGTCATCTTACACTAATGTAAAAAAGTATTCCCTCTTTCACGCATTTCCTTCTGATTTTTTCCTTTTCTGTTCGCTTATACATTTCAGATCATCAAGTAAATTCAAGGTCAATATGAAGATAATCTGGCAAAATACTAAATGTGGTTTCCAAATGATGATATTTCAGTATTAGGAGGGAAAACGTATCCAAACCAGCCATGCCTGACCAATCGTCCTCAAACCTCGTGCCTGCTTGTGAAATCCAACAGACGTCAGCTGTTTGTGAAAATTGGCAATCAGTCTTTTGTGTCACTAGCTGCGTTTCCATTATAAATATGCAAAAAAGTGTTGCTGATATTCCACTACTGTTGAAAAAACACAGTTTTGCAATTGTAAGTGTTTTCATTAAATAAGAAACGCAATTAAAATCACATGTGAAAAAGTCATCAGAAAGCATGTCGCTCCATCATCCTCCAACCACTTTCTGTCATCTTCATTGTTTTCGGCAGCAGTAACATCCAGCTGTTGATCTTGAGATTCATGTGATGTGAAAAAGTGTATTTATTGCAGTTCTGCAATATATATCTGTTTCGATACAGCCAAAACATGATTGTTTTTTTGTTTTTTTTGTTTTTCCAAAATTGGAGTTTTTCCATTCAGCGTGTTTCCGTATAGTCAGTGGAAACGCAGCTGTAGATTTACTGGGGTTCTAAAGCCTCGTGTATCGCTGGATTAGAGTATAAAAAAGTGTCATCAAATTGTGGTGTACCTCATTTAAAACCGAATGAACTTCCAAGAAGGTTGGCATTTATTAGAGTAAAAGTACAAAGAACAGCTAGACAACTTCTGCCACTGCTACTGCTTGAAATTTCACTCTTTATCGTCTTCCACTGTCACTTTGTTTCAGTGGCATTTATATCAAAATCTACCAAGCATGCAGAACAGCTTTGAGACCACATTTCATTTCAAGTTGAAGAGCAAAGCGCAGCAGCAGGGTGCTCCCCTAGGAGTAAATAACTAGGGTTAGTTATTTACCTTCATAAATCATAACTTAACCTTGGAAAACTCTACTACAAAGTAGTATGTTAATCAGGCATTGAGCGAACAGGGTGGATTTTGTGCAACAGAGAGGGGAGGAGAAGAACTGAGGAAAAGGTGCTGAAAGGTAGAAAACACACAAGATGCAGTTGCTAGGGGCTACGAGATAAGAGAAAGATCAATGGAGGGTAAGAGGGAGCAAATCACAGCAAAAAAGGAGGCAAATGAGGGAGTGACAAAGAAATTGCAGAGAGAAGTGGCTGAAAGAGGAGAATGTGGAGGAGTGGAAGAAGAAAGTGGAAGGGGGTCAGCTGGAGTGGGCAGGATAACATGGAGATCAATACTGATAGTGAGACAAAGAGTCAAACTGAGTGGGAAGCATTAGCGTGAGAGAAAGGAAAGAGATTCAGAGAAAAAGGATCGGTTGAATGCGGCAGAATACTGTGGATGTGAGCACTGTGTGAATCAGCAGGTTATTCGGATGTTAGATCAATATTCTACATCGAGACTTTTGAACTGCTGCCAAAATTATGCATACCTCTCTGACTTTTTCATGCTTTGTTTGTGCATTTTGGGAGATTTTATGTGAAAGATAGAAATTTTGGCGCAACAACACAATGGACCTATAATTATTTAGACGCTTCACAACATCCACAGACTTTTGTGACGCCAAAAGAACAAAGTACTGTTTGTACCTTTAACCCTTGTTGCTCACCTGTGTGAACCTACTGAATCGCTCACAGTGCATTTCTAAGATGATTATAGTGTTCACTTTGTATTCTGTCAGCTTTTGGTCGTTTAACCTCAATGCCACACCGTGTTCATGAAAGGAGAGAATTTCTGAGAGATAAAATGTGTTACGGCCATTTATGGCATTAAAAGCCTTCATGCCGTTGACCTTTGCCACATGTTTTCCCTGTTTCTCCCAACCCACTTTCCTGTCTGATTGTCAAATAAAGGCCACTAGACCTGACAAAACCTTTAAAAAACAGACATTAACATATTCAACATAATTCTGAAAATAAACTGGAAGCCAGTAAATGCTCCCACGTATTGGGGTGTGTTGTGCGTATTCTATGAGCCACGCAAACTCTGCATGCACACTTCACAGACAGTTAAAATTTCATAGTTGAGCCAGCCAATTACATTTCTCATGACAAATTCCTTTTAGTTCCCCACAGTCTGACTGAATGCTAGTAAGTCTGCAAGGTAGTCGGGTGTCTAGCCTCGTTTCTTCTCCATCAGGGCTGCCAACGGCAGCACAGAGAGTGGCAGTCACCCCATGTGCCCTGGTGACAGCCGGGTGTTGCATGCATTACAGCTTAATGTAGAGTGTTTCCTGCTTTTTTCAGGTTGCAACAACTAAGAAGAGGAAAAGACAAAGTAAACAAATGAAAAACAATGATAAGATTCCGCTCGGTTTCAGATTCCATCAGTTTATATTAGAACAAAACAAAGTTTGTGCAAACATTCTGCAACTTAAATTACCAGTTTTAGGCTAGCTTAGCTGCCTGGCTTTTTCTTAAATAAATAAATAGATAATTATTCAAAATATAATTTTGTGAAATATTAAGCTGAGTAAAATTGATTTTTGAGCATATTCAATACATTTAAAATTGCCAAGACTAGGACTTGTAATTAGAATTGATATTTTTTCAGCTCCTCTAATGGAAACCGCTGAAATTCAAAAGCTTCTTCTAAAATTAGACTGAAAATTTCTGTATTTTCATTAGCTTAATTTATTGACACCTCATGTCGTGCACATTGAGGATAAGATCATAGACAGCACTGTGTACTTACACTGAGGAAGTTGATCCTTGAATCTGACCATCATCCCTGACCTGAAGAGCCATTCATAGAAATTGAGACCATATTTTCTCGGCTCTCCCACAGTGAAGCCTGATGTTTAAAGGGGCAGTATTATGTAAAAATCTACTTTTTTCAGCTTTACATCAGGTTGTGATGTTATTCCCTCATCACAAACACACCTGGAGTGTTACTTTGGTTCTTTCAGGTATTTTTGAGAAATCCTTTAATCTCCCGTGGCAACCATTCAGCTGTGTAAAACGCCTGGGTGGACCTAGCTCTGCCTTTAAGGCTGCAGTTTCCGCCTCACAGAGCAGTTGTTCCCTGCAACTCAGCTCAGAAATGAGCTAACACCTGGTGGAACTGTTCATCTGCTGATCTCATTGTCTGAGATACTTCTCAGTGCAACACTTGTAAAAATAATGTTAAAGGACTAACAGAGGAGTCAAGTTATGATAACTTCCTGAAGGCGGAGTTTCAGAAAGGCCCAATTTCAAGGCTTTAAATGACAAGTAAAATTTCTTTTAAGCCATATTTCATATCATATCTATGACAACTGCAGGAAACACAGTTACTTGTTTGTGCTATAAAATGACACTACGTTCCTAGCAAACACATAATACTGCCCTTTTAAGTCAAGTTACTGAAAAGTGGTGAAATTTAAACCGAAGGGGGTTCAGACACCCACTGATCCTGAAACGGCCCCCCAGGAGCAGCAGGTGAAGAAACAGCGTGAGTGCACCAGATAGGAAAAACATTTCACAATCACAATGCTTAGCGGTGGAGGGGACGGCAAACTGAAGTAAGATAATAATGGAGACGTAATAATCAGGATTTGCGGTTATGAAATTAGCGGCATAAATATCCCCATAGATTTGTAGATAAACAGATTAGATCATCTGTATACCAGGCTTGTGTGAGCCATGACTCCGAGGATGCACTTTAAACCAGCCATCCTTCTCTGCCTTGTGCGCTGGCCGGGCATCATTAACTCCACTGTTACTAAGATGGATTAGCTTCCTGAGCTCATCTCTCTACATTGTTTTTATGG